TTTCTGTAATGTAAATGAGCACTAGCTGTCTGCTTATTATATAAAAGTTAAATGTTTTTCTTGATTTATGAGAAATGAGAAAAGATAATTTTGTTGACTTTGCATGGTTACTGTGAATAAACATTTTTCCTTTAGCTCAAATTTCTATATTAGGCCTATATAATATTATTTTATATTTTATTAATGAAATTTACAAAAACCTTAATTAAAAGCATTGATAGACCCACTACTATTTGAAAAGACAATAAAATTTCATTCATTTCAAGCATTTTTCATAAATCCTATACTAGTTTATTTATTACTAAAATTTAGGTCTTCATTATATACTTATTTTATGAAAAATTAGAAAATTTTAATTTGCATAGCAACGGTTGCTATAGTGATGACCTTGTATTTTATTACACCATTAAATTCACTTTTCTATAAAAGCTGTTTATCGTATAAAAAATATTGTATAAGCAATCTAATAATATTTTTCTTAGAAAAATAATAACAGCAATTATGTGAATTCCATTCGTTGCTATGGAGTTATATAAGTTCCGTAGCACTTCAGTAAAGGTGTTTCTTGATTTTTTTTTTTAAAGTATTGCTCTTCCATAATACATAACCTAAATACAAAAAATATTCATAAACCTATAACAATGATGATTTCAATAAGCTTTAAGTATCCCTTAAGGCCAACTCAGACAGCGTCGGCCGACGCAGCCCGACGCGATTTGTTGTCGCGTCGGGTCTGTGTGAGTTGAACGCAGACGCGATGGTGTGCGTCGGGGGGCGATTTTTTTTTCCGTACGAAACATTTACATGAAACTCCACTCGGGCCGTCTCGGCTGAATCTCATTGTAGATTCAGGAGGTCAAAAGGACCAATGGGTCGTTTAAAATGACATATAATATTTGATTAAGCTGCACGAGTAATGAAAAGTGTTATTTTAACTTGAGTTATATACTATGACAATTTGAATTTTTTAGTTAGGTCTGGGTTTTGCATAATTACCTAGGCCTACAAGAACGCTTTCTGGGAAAAGCACAAAGAGTAGGCCTAAGGAAAGCGCGTTTTTCTTCATCACTGATCAAATGAAACAGGGTGTCAGTTATTTTTAAATTGGCAGGTTCTTGATTACAAGGCTAGACCAATTACATGTAATGTCAAAATGATTATTATTATTATTACTATTTTATTATTATTATTATTATTAATTATTATTACCTGTACGTTAAGGGGAACTCAGACAATGGAGGAATTAGAGAACAATTTAAAAAACGACGTTAAGGGGAAATAACAGACGATATTCCCCTTGGGCTAGTTATTATTTATAGGAGGTTCTTCATTCAAGACTTAGGCCAAGGTAATTAATGCTGAAATTATTATTATTACCTGTAACTTAAGGGGAACTTAGACAATGGAGGAATCAGAGAACAATTAAAAAATGACGTTAAAGGGGAAATAACACAAAAGATATTCCCCTTGGGCGATTATTTATAGGCCTAGTAAATAGTACGGTATCTGTAGGTTCTTCATTACAAAACTTAGCCAATGTAATTAATGCTGAAATGATTATTATTATTATTATTATTTAACATAATTACATTAGTTACAATGATAGTTTGGACAAGTTCAATAACGCCGGAATGGTATATTATTTATTTAATAATATTTCGCTTATGCGCTCTATTTTTCATTTCATGCTTCAATTTTGTCCCATTTTTTCCTCAAAAATGTCAGTCCATGAAGCGTGACTGTTGGTGTCAGCCTATGACCACAGGCCTATATAAGGAGGGGCCTAGGTAAGATCTCAGCCTGTAGTTAGGCCTATAGTTTATCCTCTTTCTCTCCAGCCTTTGGTATTACTGCATCTATCTACACTTTATAACAGGAGGTACTCTGTTGTTGTTGTAGACAATATACTAACATTTAATAACATCCAAGAAGGTCACAGTTAGTTACACATCCCATAAATCCGTGAGATTTCATAGGCCCACCGTAGGTAAACATAGAAAGAGCAATAATAGTAAAACTCGAGCGTCACGACATTGCGAAGTGTCTGCTCTTGTTCCTCGTATCGTACTCACTCGTGTCAATCCGAGATGGCCTGAGTGAAGTTTCATGCAAATGTTTCGTAGGGAAAAAAAAAATCGCCGTCGGGGGCAGTCGCGTAGTAGAATATTAAACGTGTTTAATATTTCTCACGACGGCTTAAGACTGTCTCCGACGATAAATCGGGTCGGGCTGCGTCGGCCGACGCTGTCTGAGTTGGCCTTTATACTTAAATTTCATAAATAAAATAGGAAATTTAAATTTGCATAGCAAGAGTTGCTATGGTGATGACCTTGTATTTTATACATCAATGTGTTAACTTTGTTCAATAAGAGATGTTTATTATATAAAAATATTGTGTCTCATGATTTTTGCTTAGTCAATGACAAATGTACAGCAATTCTGCTGATTTTGCTTCGTTGATGGACGATAAAAAGAGTGTTGCTATGCAATTATATCAAAGTTTCAGCATTTTTTTACATAATCCTATTCTATGATAATAATAGATAATTCAGATGTTAAACATATTCATAAAACCTGTGAAAATAAAGATTTTAATAAACTTTAGGCTTCCTGTATACTTAAATTTCATGAATAAAATAGGAAATTTAAATTTGCATAGCAACGGTTGCTATGGTGATTGAAATTGTAGTTTTTCTAAATACAAGATTCATTCATAGCAACGGTTGCTATGGTGATTGAAATTGTAGTTTTTCTAAATACAAGATTCATTTTCGATAATTAACGAATATTTTGAGTAAGTTTCACCAATTGTTGATGATGATTATTCGAGTAATGTTATTTTTTATATTATTTAGCTAAAACTATAATTTGAATCGGAAAAATGGCGGCCATTTTGAATGCGTAATTTGGAGGTGTTCCCCCAAAGGGATTTTGGGTAATTTTGAGTTCTGAACTTCTCAAGACCTATATTTTCAGAAAATATCAAAATTAGCCGGTAGTACTTCCATTGCCACCTCCACCCCAAAATAGTCTCTAATCTGCTGGCCTATGTCCTCTGCATATATATGTAGCACTTTAATCTGTTCACGACAAGTGCTGAGTGAAACAGTACACAGGGATAACCCCTACTTGAAAGATGTACTGGGTTCATAAAGTGCACATGAGCATTTGTTTACACTGGACCTACGGTTTATAGCCCTTATCCGAGAAGACTTGTTCCACCAACGCTGTCTTAGAACGATCTTCATCACTGGCTCTAATTTGCCAGTACCCAGAGGTGAGGTCGAGAGTAGAAAAGTACTTTGCTCCGCTAAGTGCATCCAATGACTCTTCTCTCCTTGGCAATGGATAGGCATCTACTACGATGTGTCCATTAAGTTGCCTGTAGTCAACATATCGACGTAGGCCACCACATTTCTTTCCGGTAAAAACCAAGGACTGTCCTTAACGTCTTTCTTGAGTAGTGTGTGTAAATGGTCTTTCAACTCCTAGAATAAATTAGGAGGGTCACGTCTGGACTCCTGCTTTATTGGGTGGGTATCCCCTGTAGGAATGGAGTGCGTTACCAAATCTGTTTTACCAAAATCGTCCTCAATTATTGAGAGAGCAGCTTTATAATCTTCCAGGAAATTTATGAATCGACGACACTCCGATTGAGAAAATAGATCCAATCAAACACCTACCAGGACGGGCAGACTTTCAACTCCAGAAACAGTTTATTTGTACTCACTTGAATTTCGTTACATCCAACCTCTACCATATTGATGTCAACTTCAAACACGGGATCAAAGACTATTCTTTCGCTTCTCTTATTTCTCCTATTACCATGGGATCTGTAAATGTTTACATAAAATGAGTGAGGATTAGCTAGTCGTACTACCGATAATACATCATTCTCTACTACACCGACTGTTCGTGCAAACACTATAATTCTTGAGAGTATAACGGTCGATTAGCTATTTCCACCACCACACGAGTGTTCTACCTTCTAATTCCTTGGAACAACTTCCGGAAATTAGTTTTTCGGTCCCAGCTTCCACCAGAGTAGGTTATGAATTAGCTACGTAACAAAGATGACCGAATTTCCGGCTTCTCAGTGAAAATAGAATATTTACTTTTCGACATTACATTCAAGCCAATAGTAGCTATGTTTCTTAAAATCTTTAAGGATTTACAGTAGAACCAAAATACTTTGAATAGTATTATTGAAAATTTGTAAACGTAGTTAAACAATCTTGTCAGCAATTGAATCTCTTGCAAACTTAATGCATACTGTCGCACAGATTCTCCTAGTTGCTGCTCTCTTTGGTATAGAGAGGCCATGAATTCTGAAGTTGTTAACTTTTCCTCATACACAGGCAACTAATGATCAAAAATATCAACTGCCGAAAGATTCCCAATATCGTCAAGCATTACTCTCACATCATCCTGTTTGTCTTCTGGGTCTTTAGGGTAATGAAAGAACCTTCATCTCATGGAAAATTTCATTCACATTACGAACGTTAGGTCCTGTTGCACCGGTGAAGATACGAATCGACCTTGTATCACTAAATGGTGTGTATGTCACCACCATTAAAATCACAAATCTCACTGCTGTTGTCACCAAAATGTAAGGCTGAAGCACTATAAGAAAAATGAAGCACTATAAGAATAATGGAAGAAATACGTCTGTACTTTGTAAAGGTTGAACTCAGAATGATTTTAATCGTTTTTCATAACCACAAAATCAGTAACATTAACGATAAATCTATGTTCAGTAAATACCCGTAATTAAGTAATTAAACTTAAAAGTGCCCACTACGAATTAGTTGAGGTACTACAAAATAATAATTTAGAGGCATAAAGCGTAAACATCGCCGTAGAACTTTATACATGAAAACAGAATAACAGACTACAGTACAATCGTAAAACATGTCAGATGGTCAGCTTAAGCAAGTCGCCATGTTTGTCTACATTGGACGCAAACCTGTGGCAGATTATGTTACGTCATCAACTAGGTTTATAGTGCAGTAAGACGCCAACAATCCTTCACTGACGCGAGTCAATGAAACCGGGAAGAAAAATTAATGCATAATAAAATATGATCACGATGATATAAAACCTAGTCAGGCATATAAAACAATTAACTTAGGAAAATTAAAATACATTTTTTTTTGTCTTTTGTGGGGTTATCCCACCTTTATTTCTTCTCATATTTCATCATTACATAATTTACAATTACAAGGTTTTATGTTGTACCGTGAAATATCCAATATGAGTATTTACAGAGATAAAACTCATTTTTCTTTAAAACGGGTTAGTCCATCTTGATGGCTAACTATTATTTCTTTATAGTTATTTTCATAGTAACGTACGACATTTAAATATATGTTTTCAATGCGTTCCTTTTATATGTATACTTTTCTGAATATATTCTACTTACCTTTTTTAATATAAATAATATACTGTACATACATACATATACATTGTACTCGCATACATGTCAGGATGACAAGTAGCTTACATTAATCAAATATTGATCAGAAATCCTAGGCATATGTCAACATACCTACATACATCCACACTCCCGTTAATATTCACATACACCCACCTATATATGTGCAATACCCAAACTTACACAATAAGCATATTGGGGCCTATAAACAAAGAGGTTATCTATATACACATAACTCCATAATGCCATTTTAATTTTTTTTTTTACATTTTAAATTTTATTTAATAACTTTCTGTTATAATACTCTATTGAAAATAAGGTCGCAATGGAATTAAGCTTCCATTTACCAATGTGGTTTAACGTTCGAACCTTGTATATACAGAATGCTCAAAGACTACAGATATCATCTAAGAATCTGTTGCCTGTACCTAGTACAATGTTATGAAAGGACAGTGGTGTTTCTAATTTGAAACTATAATTAATAAAATTCCACATTACTCTTGCGTCTTTACATTCAAAAAATAATGTAATTCATCATCCAGTACATTGCATTCAATACACCGCTCATCCTTAACAATCTTATATTTAAATAATAATTTTCTTGTAGGTACAATCATATGAAGTAACTTAAAGTTCAATTGCTTAATTACATTACATTTTTGTGTTTACTGCGCCAGGTGTGTATCCAATCTCTGTTTTCAGTGTTCAACAAAATTTCCCATTTCCGTTGGGTTTGAACAGGAGGCTTCGCAGTACTCTTTAGTAACAAACAATAAATTTGATTTGTTGTCATTTTTAGAATGGGGTTTCTAATACTTGTATGCTTGGGCATATCCTTATTACTTACTACATATTTTGTATGAAGAGAAGTGCTGATAGAGAGCAGCCTTGCCTTATGCCTTGTTTCATAGTGAAGCTTTCTGACACCCAGCCAGAATTAGTGAATGCACTATCTGTATTTTTATATATTGTTTTTACCCATTTTATGAAAGAGTCTCCGAAGTTGAATTGACCTAAGGTTGCTATTAAACAACTTCTGTTAACCGTATCAAAAGCCTTTTTGAAATCGAGACTTATTAGTGCTCCTTCTAATTGTTCATTATCCATGTAATTGATTATATCTTCTGTTAATCGTATGTTTTCGCCCCCAAACCGGCCATTTACGTAACCTTTTTGATCATTATTAATAATTGATTTAATAAATAATTGCAGTCTTTTTGTCAGTACAAATGTTGCAATTTTATAATCATAATTGAGTAAGGTAATCGGTCGCCAATTATTCAAATCATGATGATCTCCTTTTTTATGAATTAAATTTATGACACCTCTTCGTTGCGTGTTGGAGAATTGCTTGTCTATGTAACAGAAGTTTAGGGCGTCACAAACAGTGTGGCATCAATAATATGCCAAAAGGTTTGGTAAAATTCAATCGTTAAGCCGTCGCACCCTGGTGCTTTATTCTTTTTCATTTGCATGACGGCCTGTTCACATTCTAATAATGTCAGTTCGCCTTCACATATTAGTTTTTCATCTTATGTGAGTTTCCTTAAATCAACATGTGATAAATATTTATTAATTGTTAAGTTTGAATTTTTTTACTAGCGTAAATGTTAGAAAAGAATTTAACTTGTTCTTCAAGTACCTCAAAGGCGTTTGAAGTAAAAGCACCGTCTTGTTTTTTAAGTAATTTAATGTCCTTTTTGTTGCTGTTATTTTTTTCGATGCCAAGTGCCAAAGTACTTTGTATTTTTCCCCTTCTTCAATCCATTTTAATCTAGATCTAACATGGGCCCTTTTTGCTTCTGTCAATATATATGTTTTCAAGATTTGTTTTGTTTTCTTCAAGTTTAATTTGAAGGTGCTTACTATTGTCTTGCAATATTAGATTATTTAATCTGTTGATTTCATTTTTAAGTTGTTTCTTTCTCTCATTCTTTTTTTTTATTATTTGTTTTTCCAAATTTAATCGAAAATTCTTTAATTTTAAATTTTATTATCTCCCATTTATCCCGTGGGTTTAACTCTTCAGTCCTGGCTTGATTAACAATGTATGTAATATTTTTAATAAATACTTCATCTTCCAGGTGTGTATTATTCAATTTTCACAGGCCTGGCCCTCTTTTATATTATTGATTATGAGTTTTAACGAGACGGCCTGGTGATCAGTGAGAATTGATGGTCTTATGTCACATGAGTAAACAGATTGTATTAGATTTTGAGAGATAAATAATATAATCTAGTCTTCTATATGTTTGAGTTGATTTTCTACGCCATGTAAAATGAGTTTTTGTAGGATTAAGTGTCCTCCATGCATCAATTACATTAACATTTTTCATAAAGTTCATTAATGTATATATTGAATTGTCTGTTATGCTTTTACTGCCTTTTACTGTCTAATTTACTGTCTAAATTTTTATTTAAAACACAATTCATATCTCCAGATATGATGATGTTACTCTCCTCATTAACTATGAAGTTCTTAATAATAATAATGTTTAACTTTCTATATAAAAAAAAAATAAAACACTTTTTTGGTGCATATACATTAACAAGCACAAATGAAGATATGTCTATTGTGATGCTTATAATGACAGATCTACCATTTTCATCAATCTGTGTTTTATTAACCTTATAGGTATCACAATCCTTAATCAGAGTTGAAACTCCTCTTGAGTAAGAAGATTCAAACCTATGATACGCTTGACCTTGCCAAAGAAATTCATATTGATTTATTTTATCACGGGTCCAGTGCGTTTCTTGAATAAAAAATATATCAACTTTATTGTCATTTGCCCATTTGAAAATACATTTCTGCTTATGCTTCTCTCTTAATCTTCTAGCATTGAGAGACAAGAAGTGAATGTTAGGTGTCATTTAATAAATTAATATATAATAAGTATATAAGTATATATATAAGTGTAATAAATAATAAGTATCTATCAATTTTGTTTGTTTACTTATTTGTTTTATTTATTTATTTTTATTTTATTTATTTATTTTTTATTTATTTTTTTTTTATCCCTAATTACGTCCAACAGATTATTGGTTGTAAACATCAGTTTTATATGTATCTGTAAGTCAGACATAGATAACAGATTGCTGTAAGACTAAATTTGCATAGACAGTTAAGATCGTCACACAAACGCCTATTGTTAATAATATTCATGCTATTGTTTACGGTCAACCATGACAACGTACAGTAGTGCATTTAAGGACATGTTTCGTGATCGGTAAATCGGGGTCATCATTATTATTATTACTATTTTTATGAATGTGATTTATCGAGATCCTTGTATTTAGCATGAGTTTATCAAGGAATGAATGTTTTACTATTTTGTGTTTTTCTTCTTACTTTTACTTGATTTTCTTCTTCTCTTGGTTCCAGGCTGGGTTGGAGAGACAACGTTCGCTGCATCTTCTTCTATTTTTTTATCTGTAGAGTTCTTTTTCGATTTTGATTGTTCGTTTGATAACGACTTTATGAAATCTGTAATCTTTCCCTTTTTCTTTTTGGTATCTGCTGTTTCAATTTCACTGTTTCACAGTTTCACTCAGCATCACTTGTGCTACCTGAGTCATCACTTTCATCTTCACTGTTTTCGGTGTCTGTGCCTTTTTCTTTCTGTTCTACCACTCTTGTCCATACCTCTTGCATTAGACGTTCTCCAGACGTACCATGCAGTAGTTTAACCGCACTACATTGGTCTTTTTTGTGTCCTTGTATACCACAGATATGGCATACAAGCTCATTTGTACATTCATTTCCACTGTGCCCTTGCTTTAGGCATTTGGAACATTTCGCTCTCTCATCTTTTTGACCATTAGATTAAAATACATTATCACTTAACTGAAGTATCAAGAAATATGAATCATGGTGAAGTAATATAAATTTACCTATAAGATTTACCTAAAGACGACTGGCAAGCAACGACTATTAAACTATCCATTGAAAAGAGCTAATTTTAGATTCGTATGATCCGGTAACGCAGGTGAATATCAAACTGCCGTCTGTAGTTCAAAAACATATTTCCTCATAATTCATAATAGACCATCTTTTGCTTAATTAATTTTCTTTAGTCGTTAACATATAACGATAGAGAATTTGAACAGTCACTGAAAATGTGCTTTCTTTCGAGAACTATTATAGTTGAGGCCGAGCAAGGGCGGCGCCATCTTTGTTGTTGTTACGATGAAGCAGCTACGTGACCGAAACGAGAGGAGATTTCGTGCAAATAAGGAACTATCGCATGTGGCTAACAAAACATGTTAATTTAGTCGCAGTGCTAGTCCAAGTTCATTTTAAGAATACGAAATAATATACAACAGAAAAGGCAAAAATATAAATTACAAAAACATTTTTCTTCAAACTTTTGAAATGAATTGGGGCATATCTAAAGTATTGCCTTTAATTATTTATGTGCCCTACTCATATGTAACATATTTAGGCCTACCAATGTTGTTCATCTTAGAATCGTGACTGTACGGAAGTGAAGCAATTTTCGAGTGGAAACAGTGGCGTTTATAATGTGAAACCCTGCCCATCATGCTCGCCCAGCAAAGTGTATTGTAACATGGAGACTGACGAACACGGCTGGACAGTGAGTTCATACAAGTATTCATTTATTGAGCAGCCTTCAAACAGTTAGCCCACAAAATATGATGCATATGCCTATACCTGTCCTAAAAAGAACAAAAAAGTCAACAACCCGTTCCTTGTACCACATCATTTTTTCTGTATGGAGTCACTTTTGTTTTATTTTACCACAGTTATTCATGTGAATTATTGCCAACGCAAAAATATTTATGTAGGCCTATTGGTAACACTGATCACTTACTACTATCAAACTATATAAATTTGTAACCTACACTAAAAATAGGCTCCCAGCGACAGCGTGTGTCTACTGCTTGACCAGTTTTCTGGTCCATGCTTTATGTTGGCAATTTACTTGAATATACGGTACAAGTAACAGATTGTTCAACAGTGACTTTTTAGTTCTTTCTAGGACAGGTCTTATCTAGCTTGCAATTATATTTCGTAAACTTACTTTTTATTTTTATCTTTAGCTTATGACCCATCCCATCATTTATCCACCGGATTTATTCTTACAAAAACCAAGTGTTTAAATCTTAAATTTTACAATAATCATATCCTCATAAAAGGTAGCATATTTTTTATAAATGCTTTAAAAACCATGTAAATACACTCGGTTTACCAGTGAACATAATTACATGTTAAATATTATTATAGGTCCTCCAACGCAGACGAGACGACTCCGTCGATTTTTACCGAACCTGGGAAGAATATACTGACGGATTTGGGGACGTGTGCAATGAATTTTGGATTGGAAACGAGTTCATTCACAAGATAACGTCATCGGCAGTACACGAGCTGCGAATAGATTTAATTGATTATGATGATAACCATGACTATGTCACGTACGATTCCTTCAGAATTGAAAGCGAATCTGACAAATACAGATTGCGTCTCGGAAATTACATAAATTCACAATCGAACATTCGTAAGTGTTGTACGCCTATTATTTAATTTACAAGGGCGGATTTAGGGGGGGGACCGCCCCCCCCCCCGCCCTTTGGGCGGTAAAAATAAAAAGAAAGAAACAACAAACAAACATTTCGATGAGAAGTTTTAAGTAAAATGGGGTAAATCTTCTGTTTATGGTTTTTTTGCAACATATTCTTAGAGTAGGCGCTGCTAATGTTTTATCAAAGTCAGTATTACATATTGTGATCTGTGGGGTAGTTTGTACGCCATAAGTGTAGCCTAGATTCACAAAGCATGTGCACGTAAAATCCAGAAACAAATATCAGGCATTATGAAGTATGCCTACTATAATCTTACAAATTGCTTATCATTTCAGCTGATTCGCTTAGTAATCAGGATAACTGTCAATTTTCAACAAAAGGTAAAGACAACGATAACCTTGTTGGTGGCAGAAATTGTGCTGATGATTATTTTTGCGGGTGGTGGTTTCACAAATGCAGTCATGCTAATTTGAACGGTAATGTGTTTTCTACAGAGGTACCAAACGCTGATACTTCTCAAGGAATAACGTGGTTGATAATCAAATCAAACTTCACCAGAAGACAGTACAGATTTTCAGAAATGAAAATTCGAAGGATTGGAACATTCTAGATGTAGGCCTATGTGCCTCACGCATCCGAGGCGTTTTGAAAAAAAAACAAAAAAACACACCTACAAAACAAAGTAACTTGAATAATAAGCAATTAGTAGGCTAGAGGTGCACATAGTACACTATAGGGAAATTATTATACAAAGGTTAGATTTAATGCTTGAAAAAATTTCCTGAGGGCCCGGGCCCGAAGGAAATTTTTGAATGCATTAAATCTAACCTTATATGTTTAATAATTTTCCGATAGTGTACGATATATGCAGTTCTACTAATTACAAGTCAATCATCGTCTTTTAATGTTAGTTTTGATTGGTTTTGATAATCAACTATTGTACTGTAGCAGTCATCGGTTGCTATATTATATGATCTGTATACTGTATGCGTATTTACATTTAGCTGTTTATTCTCCCGCAGTACGCTTAACACACAACAGCGACGTTAAGCCCATTCCCGGCAAAAAAATGCATAGAAAAAATGCATAGGCCTATGCATTACTCTAATTATTATAAACCATGGAAAATGTTGGCATCAATTTTATTTTTACGCAAAAAGGATAAAAAAAAAGCTAAATAGAGACTATTTCTCATGGGAAAATACATTTTCTCGACGACTTCTTGTTACTAGGCATATTCACTTTTATGCTGTATACTTTATACTGTCAATAGCCCTCCTAATGAGATTTTGTTTTGTACTTCGCATCTCGCACACTGCGGTCGATCGAGTAGGCCTGAGATTATGTTTGTTTAATTGTCAAAATCTCGGCGAGAATTGTTACAATATTGTACTGTTATGACCACTTAAAAGCGCAATACATAAATGTGTTGCTTGCTGAATAATGGATATCGAAGTACATAAGCGTAGTCCGTGCATTGTTACCATCTTCACATCGTTTTTTTTTTAAACATATTTGAAATAATTTTAAGGAAATATTATATTTTAGATGTGTCACTACTAGCAACAGAATTTTTATGTCTGATAACAAGAGTAAAATCGAGGTAAGACTAGGCCTCGCCTAGCATGCAGTGTTGGATAGGTTAATGTTTACGGTGCCTACTATCTTGGCAGACCTATCGCAAAATCAACCATTTTTTTATTTTTAGTGTGGAACAAAAAAAAAAAAATAAATAAAATTTCAGTCTTATTTTACATTTTTTTTCATGTTTAGGAATCTCTAAATTCAGTTAAACTAGCCATTTCGTATTGTTTATAAATCTTTATAAAATACTGTATATAACAATCAGATTTTTCTTAACTACTTAAATTTTTCCGGTAATGGGACTTTAATTAAGCTTTGTCTACACTATAAAATTTGATGTGACAAAAAAATGTGATGTGTCCATTTTATATGGGCACGATGTCGTCATATCACATAGGCCCTATGTAATTTCAAATTGTATCAAAAAATTTTATACTTTTTTATGTCATCCGTCAAGTAATTGTCATTTTTTTTAGAAAACACATTTTGACCAATAAGCAAACACTACAAATCACACCAACCAATCGGATTTAATTTTTTTTTTTTCAACAGATATCACATTTTTTTTGAGGTGACGCTTTTTTAATTAAATTTGATAGTGTAATAGACAGAGTGTGGTTACATCAGTAGTACACTGATGCGATGAATAATTATTTATTGTGTTTGAAGAACTTATAATGTTATTTTACACTCGTCAAAGAAATAAGCATCCTTGAAGGATATACAGTAATCAATTTTTGGTCTGTGCCGAGAGGTAAAATTGTGTTATGATTTCATATCCAGGCTACGCTAGGCCTCGGCCTTCGGATTATCTAGGCCAAGACTGGGTACATCTAATTTAATTTTTTGATAAAATAGGTATAGAATATTTCTATAGTATTAAAGGTTCAGTCTCTTTAGTTTATAAAGGGTCCATTGATTCAAGGAATTCCTTAAATTCATACTTAATATTGAATTTGAAGTAACTTTCTTCTAATCAATCTAAATTTCAATTACCCCTTGTCAACAAACGACGACTGGGCGAGTGACGTGTCTGCTCTGTCTATCCACAGGCGCACGTTGTAGTGTTAGGTGTAAAGACAGCGTAGGTGATATACAATTTGAATTGGCACACGAGCCTAAAAAAGATCAAACCAAAGCGTACACTACGTGAAAAATAGTGGACTGTTATGGATAGTCAAATAACACTGGTAGTTGCAATGATGACGTCACGATTAACTTGTATAATAAATATTAGTGATGATAATAACTGACCTAATAATGATTATCATGATAATGAGAATATTATAATAATAATGATAAAATAATAATACCACACATATTTGTGTACATATTAACCCAAAAAATGAACTTAAATGATTGTAAACCGCATCATGAACAATTCGTTCAAATAATTTTGATAAAGTAGGCAGCAGATATACTGGACGGTAATTTTCCATTGACTTTTTCGAGCCACTTTTATGGATAGGTAAGACATTACCAAATTTCCAAGTAGCTGGAAAAATTCCAGAGTTGATGGACAGCTGAAAAATTTTGGAAAGTGGATACGAGAGTGGAGATGCGGCTGCTTTAAGAACAGTATTACTGATTTGATCATTGCCAATGGCTTTATAAATATTAATATTGCTAAGTGCTATTTCAACAGAATGCTGATCTATCACCATTGTTGACATATTGTCAATTACATAGTCTGGAAGATCTGGGCATTCCTGCATCCCATGCAAAGATGGATCGTTAAAAAATGAATGAAAAAAGGTATTAAATAAAGGAGCTTTATCAGAAAAAGATTCAACAGAAACATTACCCTGCGACATAACTGAAGGAAATTCACTTGACTTATGTTTACATTTTAACCAACTCCAATTTTTTTTTTATTTGAACCAATTTGTTCTGCCAGTGATTTAAGGTAACTATTATATTTTCTTCTACATAAACTCTTAAATGAACGTCGAGCGAAACTAAAATTACTTTTTGTCAGACGATTACTATTTTTCTTCATAACTCTTAACACTTTCCTTTTCATATAATACATTACGCAGCTCTTTGTCGAACCATGGCGGTAATTTCCTTCTCTTTCTAACTTTAGGAACTACGTCCTTAATAGCAGCAATTAAAAAACCATAAAAAAGATCAACAGCATCATTAATATTTCCATCAAAATTTATCAAATTCCAAGGTACATAATTTAATGTATTGCACAAATCATCTATGTTCAAATTTTTAAAATTGTAAAATATTCTATCATTAAAACTATTAAAATTGTTATTGCACTGCACTTCAATACGATAATCAATTTTTATTGACAAGTCAGATCAGATACAAATATATCGTCTCCAACATTAACATTAGTAGTTAAATCTCTACTGCTAATAACCAAATCTAAAATGTTATCTAAACGTGTTGGAAATTTGTTACACTGAAAAAGTCCACAACTGTCCAGAAGAACGTCAATTAAGTGTTCACCCATTGAATTTGAAGGCGCAGAAGGATGATTTCCCCATTGGATTTCTGGTAGGTTGAAATCACCTAAAATAAGAATTTCACTGTTTTTATAGAGCATCATCGCAGATTCAGTGGAGGCGGTGAAACGACGAAGAACTTCAATGGACACATTTGGCGGACGGTAGAACAAACCAATTAGTAGGCTTCTTCGACGCGCGAGTTTAACCTCAATCCACATAAATTCAGATGACTCCAATTCCCACCGGTCAACTCGATGACATTTGAGTTTGTTATTGACCAGCAAGAGAATGCCACCGCCACGTTTGTCAAGGTCTCTATCACGCCGAAAAAGTGTATAATTCTCAACTGAGAGTTCAGCATCAAAAACAAAACTATTCAACCAGGTCTACGTCAGTGCTATGATGTCCAGGTTTTTCTAAATTAAATGCGAAGCCAGTTCTGAGCTGTACACATCTAGTTTGTTTTTCAAACTGCGAACGTTTTGGTAATATACGCCAGGTGGTCCATGATCCAGGACTCGATGTCACCGCTTAATAACAGAATACAAAATTTAGCCACATGATTAGAATAATATAAGCGAGGGCTACAGTATTTGTTTCTCCTGAGCATTACATATCTCCCACCAAAACTAAGAGAGTTTGATTTATCAAACCAAACTACGAGTCCAGGTTTTAGACCAAAGTAGCTAGGCCTACTTGTAGGCCCACAACAGCTGGCAGATGACACAGGGAGAAAGCTACTTCCAGCCCGCCAGAACGTTGCTGTGGTAGTGCTAACACTGTCACTCACTTGGCTTAGAAACTCCGGTACATAATCACCTTTTGAGCACACAAATTAGGCTTTCTTGTTCCTTCATGTATTGTGCTAACATCCAAAATTGAAATAATGGAACATTTGAAGATAAATACAGCAATGTACACTAATAAAATATAAGTAGAAACACACAGCCTGGTAGCCATTATGCACATACTATCCACTATGCACTTGTCGTTCTGGACCACCATTCCCTTCCTTGCCCGTTCATACCGTTCGTCTTAAAGTTATTGGAACCTCATACATTCTACTAATCATTTATATGTTCAATTATATGTTAAATTGGCGAGGATGTAGTATTTCCTTGAATTCTGCTATTGAGTATTTGTTAAAAATCAATAATTACATTACCTAGCCCCGTCCCTTTAATATGTTACGTGCGCGAACGAAGATTGAGCGTGACGTCAGACTTGTCCCACGGTGTACTTTTCCGCTCACGCACGCTGTGAAGTTTTTGTAACCTTTTTTTTTTCGGCGCGACGAGCGAGACTGGTAAATCATTCGCTCAATTTTCGTTCAGTGTCAACAATGGCTTCTATAACGCCGTATAAGTTCGAACCGTACTGTACTGATGATGATGGCAGCGGCAATGAAGAAGAGGCGGGAGGAGAGAACAACAACAAAGATCAATCAAGAAGAACTAATACCGATTGGTAAGTAAAACATAGCTATTTATTGGCTACAAACAGTGTTTTATTAAAGGCCTAGGCTAGGCCCCTATCTGCCCCTATAGTCTACTAGGCCTACATACTTATTACATACGTATTATTTATCTGGGCATTCTAGGCTGATAATTATGATACAGTACTTCTATAGGGCCGCCCTATCCTAAATATTATGAGACATCGTATGTAGGCCTA